TCATCCACCCACCATCCATCTGTCCACTCATCCACCCACCATCCATCTGTCCACTCATCCACCCACCATCCGTCCATCCACTCACCCACCACCCACCCATCTACTCACCCACCCACCACCTACCATCCATCTATCCACCATCCATCTGTCCATCCATCCACCCACCCACCATCCATCCAAACACCACCCTGAGGACTTACTGAGCAGCACCTGTGCTGGCCTGTGCTCGGTGCTGAGTGCACAGAGGGACAGGTAGGACTTTTCTGTGAAAGAGCCCCTGTTGAGTACAGGGAGTGAGGTGTCTGCAGGACTGATGGGCCTGTAGGAGGGGCAGACCGTGTGGGCCCCTCTAGTGAGGGCTGCAGACAGTACTGGGGACACTGCCCTGCACTAGACTGCAACTCTCCAGGGGCTGCCCCTGGGTCCTCTGTACCCAGTGAGAGGCCTTACGGCCCTGGGATACTCAGAGAACATGGGCTTTGGCCCTGGAGTCAGGAGACAGTATTCAGATCCCAGCCCTGTCTTGGACTTGCTGGGTGACCCTGGGCTTGTCCCTGGCTGTTGGCTCTCATTTAGCACTCCCTGATGGCTGTGCCCCTGACTGCCGCACCTGCAGCCCCCAGGCATCTAACGGCCACCACCTTGTTTCCACAGAGCGACTTGTTGGATGTGAACCAGATCATCAAGGACTTGGCCTCCATGGTGTCAGAGCAAGGAGAAGCCATCGGTGAGTGCCCACGCCACCCTCCGAACCCCCTGCTCCTATCCGCCTGCCCCTCCCTCCAGGGTGGGAAGAGCTGCGTTCCAGGTGAGGAGGCTCAGGGCAGGCTCTGAAGGTCTGAGCATTTGCTGCCTCCCTCCCGCGCCTCCCCAGGCTCCCCAGCCCCCAGAAAGGCCAGGGCAGGAGGAGTCCTGCCCACCGTGCTCAGGAACGAGTCCTGGCCTCCATGCCCCTTGCCCTGGGCTTTCCTCCCCGGCCAAGGACTCCGCAGGGTGAGGACAGGCTCTCCTGGGTGCGGGAGGGGCCATGGCTGCAACGGGCACTCCAGTGGAGCGCCCTGGACATGTGGGGCCTGGAGCCACCTCGGGGTCCTTCGGCCACTTCTCAGGAAACGGGTGTGTGGTGGGGACAGGGCTGTGCTGGGAGGGGGCCGACGTGCCTGCTGTTTCTGTATTCCCTCCACATGAGGGCCTCAGCCCGACCCGCCTGGCCCGTCCATCCACACTGGGCAGCCGCGTGGTTTTCCTGCAACTGCCCCTAGTGCCTGGGTGCCTTGAGGTGGCCGGGTGGGAACTTGTGGACCTCTGGCCCCCAGTGCCCAGAGCCATTTGGCCGATACAGTCAGTTCCCAGGCAGGACCCAGGGGCTCGCCCATCCACCTCTGCACCCCTGCTCACTGGGGCCCCCTGCCTCTCTCAGACCCAGAAGCCCTGGAGGTTCTGAGGTCCGGGTACATCCTGGGCCCAGGGGCAGCCACGCTGCCCTCCTCCCAGTGCTGCGTGTACCTCAGGAGGAGTGGCCGGAGAGGGCTGAGCCTCGCCGCCCCTGGCACTGCTGCCGCACGCCTGCCCCCCACTCCTCCTCAGAGCCTGGGCTTTCGTTGGGCCTGCTCTGTGGCTAGGACAGCCTGGCCAGAACCTCCCTCCCTCAGGGTGTCCTCTCCGCAGGACCCGCCCCGTCTCCACATGCTCCCACCCCCTCAGCCCTGCAGCCTCGTCTGCCTCTGGCTGCTGTGCAGGGGTGGGGTGTGCAGAATGGTGTGTGTGCTGCAGATGGACACTCAGTCCCTGTGGGCGACTGATCAGAGGGACTGTCTCCCAGGTTGGGGGGAGGGGCAGGTGAGGGCTGAGCTGTGGCCACCGTGGCCAGCGCCTGGGAAGGGGTAGGCACTGGGGGGCCGGACGCCCCACTTTGTGCGTTCTACAATGATGGATGGCGGCCTGGGGCTACTGTACCCTCCTCAGGAAGCAGTGGGGGCCCAGGGCCACGAGCCTGGTGGTGCTCTGCTCCCCAGCTGGCCATGGCCTCAGCCTGCCCCTCAGCCTCTGGTGCCTTTCCAGGGTCCAGCGGCAGCAATGCCACGTGCCGGCGGAGCTCCAGCCCCGAGCCAGCCGTGGCGGCCCTGCTGCCAGGGCCGGGCTTCGAGCCCCTGCGGCCAAGTCCCCACTCCCGCACCAAGACGCGCAAGCCCAACTTCAGCCCCCAGGAGACGGAGGTGCTGGTGCAGAGGGTGACGCGCCACTACCCGCTGCTGTTCGGGGCGCTGAGGGCCACGCCCGCCCGGAAGCACCGTGTGTGGAGCCGCATCCTGCAGGCAGTGAACGCGCTGGGCTACTGCCGGAGGGACCTGGGCGACCTCAAGCACAAGTGGCGGGACCTGCGTGGGGTGGTGCGCAGGAAGCTGGCGGAGCGCCCCCGGGCCCCAGCCGAGGGCAGCCTGGCCCCCAGCCTCACCCTCACGCCTGTCGAGCGCATGGTGGCCGAGACCTTCTCAGCCGCGGGCCCCTCAGGCAAGGGCCAGGCCACCGAGCCCCTGCCAAGTAAGTGGGCCCCACCCACAGCCCGGTCCCCCAGGCTGCTCCCATGCCCAGGGCTTCCAGGGCGTGAACACGAGATCAAGACTCTCAGGAGAGCCGAGGCCATGGCCGCACCATCACCACTTGGCCCCTCTCTGCCTGTAGATGGGGAAACTGAGGCTCTGGGCCAGGAAGGGTCTGCTCATCTTGGGAGTAGAGTAGCTGGGGCTCAAAGTCAGGTTCACCCTGGCCCCGAGCTCAGGGTTCTTCTGGGGTTCCCCACCACGACATAGTGCAGCCAGGGCCCTCCAGAGACCTCAGGCCCCTCCGTCATCACAGGAGCTGATAGAGCCACCCACATGCCCGTCGGCCCTCAACACGGCCCGGACGGCGGGGCCATTGTCACCGGCACCGGCCCAGCTCAGCGCCTCGCCCTGCCCCACCCCTGCATCCTTCTTGGGTGTGAGGGAACAAATGGGGGTGACTTCATCCTTCCTCTGACCCCTCCTAGCACTCTCATCCTGGGGCCCTTCTCAGGGTCTCTCAGCGTCCCTACCAGGCCAGGGTGACACCTGGTGGCTCTCGGATCCCCAGGGCATGCTTGCTGACCCCCCTTTGAAAACCTTTGCTGAGAGTTTCTGTGCCTGGTGAGGAAGCAATGGGGCACTTGGCCGGGCCTTCCCTGCCGCACGCAGCTGTCTCTGGCACCCCCTGCCGCCGCCTCCTTCAGCACCTCTTCCTGCCCTCTTCTCCTCAAGTCACCTCTGAATGTCCCCACCAGTCAGGAGAAGCTTCACTGTTGTCCGTCTGTACCTAAGGCTCCACCTTCTCCTGGCAGCTGAGCCCCGCTGGACCCTTCCTTTTTGGGGAACTGCTGGAAGAACTTTGGGGACAAGGCCAGGAGCAGGACCAACTTCCTCTTGAAGGCCACAAAATGGACAGTGCGACTTGGCCTCATGGGACAAGTGGGGGCTGCAAACACCCCCATTAGTGGGTGCAACAGAGCTTCT